GAACTCAAATCACTCTATAAAAAAGATACCTGCACACGTATGTTTATTGCAGCGTTGTTCACAATAGCAAGAACCTGGAAACAACCATGCTGCCCATCAAAAAGAGGACTGGATTAAAAAAATGTGGTACATATACATGATGGAATACTATGCAGCCATAAAAAAGAACAAAATCATGAATTTCGCAGCAACCTGGATGGAACGAGAGTCTATAATACTGAGTGACCTCTCACAGAAACAAAGATCCGAGTATCACATGTTCTCACTCATATAATGGACCTTGAACATCCAATGTAATACTATAAGAAAATGACTGACGGTACTGGGAAACTATGGGTGGGGAGGGGGATGGGATTAACAGTTGTAAATATCTATCTGGGGATGGGGAAACACCTTATCAACAGGGTGCCTGAGTGAAACATAATTGTACGCCTAACCCTTAACTGTACCCCACAAAATCATAATAAAAAATATTGATTAAAAAAAATTAAAAAAAATTAAGTTTAAAATTAATTTAAAATGAATATGAACTTAAATAATGAATATAAAACTATCACAAGTTTGTGATAATTTACTATTCAGTGACAGTAAATTATTCAACAGGTACAACCATCTCATTTAACCTCTACACTGGGATGATTTGGGCATTATTAACCTCTTTGTACAATGAGGAAACTGAGGCACAGAGAGGTTAAGCAATTTTATGTAGTAGCGCACCATATTTCATTGAATCTCAACCTTTCAGATTGAATGCTGCACCCTTAAAAAAGAGACAATGCTGCCAATTAAACCTGAGCACACCCCTTTCTTAACGCATCACTATAAGATGCTCCCAACATAAAAGAGGTTAGGATGAGGAAAAAAATATGAGTGAGAATCAGTAAAATGGGCTGGCAGAGCTAGGCTCCAAACTCAGAACCGTCAGACTCCAAGGTGCCTATCTCAGCATGATATAGTCTCTCTGGTTTCTCTTGGCCTCTTTCCCTGCTTGCCTCCTGTTCACATGCTCAGGGACTTGAGATCACAGGGAATATGAAATGGCTGTCCAGATCTGGATCCTATGACTTGGTCAATGCAGATTCATTTATTCATTGCTTTGGGGGAAAGTAAATCCCGCTGTCCCCTTAAGCCCCCAAGATCCTAATCAAGGAGGAAGTTATGATTCCTATGACACAGTGAAGAGGGAAGACAGAAAGTGGACAGGTTTCTTGCATGCTGTGGCTGCGAAAGTATGGGAGGCAGATGGGGTGGGAAGGAGGCTGGATGCTCCTGTGACCTTATTTGCTGCCAGTTAAATAGGGCACCTGAACACACAGATCCAGTGTACATACACCCTCGGGCCCTAGGAAAAGACAGAGATTCAGGGATTTCATTTCAGAGCAAAACTGTCTGATAAAATTAAACTAAGCCAATTTAGGTTCTCAGCACTGGAAGATCTCCTGATAGCCTGGAGTTGACTGTGAACCAGGGGTGGCGGTGCCCAGATGGGACTCATCCCTCGGTCTGCTGGTCCTGGGTGCAGTATTGGACTCGGCAGTCAGGGATGGCCTATCGAGGGGCTAGTGGTTCTGGTCATTTGGAGGAAATCTGCATGTCCCCATCCCAGGCCCGGGGCAGACTGGCCAGCTGGGATTTCTGAGAGTACAGGACAAGCACCCAGCCCTGGGAGGATGGGTGTCTATGGCGTTTGCCAGGACGGTACACACACACAGGGCAATCATGCCGAAGCAAGGGGCTCATTTAAATCAGCCAGTGTGTCTGCATAAATCAGGTGGTGGGGTGGGCTTCTCATTGGTCCGCTTGCTCCCCCATGCAGAACTCATCAGGAAGACCCTGGCCAAGGGCACTCACCTGGTGCAGCAGCAATTCCCAGAGCTGTCCCGTGGGAATCTCCAGGCAGGCAGAGCTCAGCAAGAGTGTCTTGTCTGGAAGGCAAGAGGCTGTCTGTCTGCTCTTTGGGATGAGGGTGGCACCCAGAAGCCCCAGTGTCAGCCTCCTCTAGGCCCACAGCCTTCTGGGAAACTGTTTCCTCTGAGTAGGGTCCATCTGTGAGAGACTAAGCACACGGGGTTGTCAGTATGCTAGGAGGTTTTACCAGGGGACCCCCAAACCAAATTTTTAAATAAAAAATTGCATATTTATTCTTACAGGTTTAAACTTCAATCATTTTCAAAGTATTCTCCATTTGATGTAATACATCTATTCAGACATGTATTTCACTGCTCAAAACAGTTTTTGAACTTATCAATTTTCATGCCTTTTAGTGCTTCTGCCGCTTTTGGATTCACCTTTTCCACATCGGCACAACATTTCCCTTTGAGGACTTTTTTTTATCCAGGGAAACAAAAAAAAGTCACTTGTGGCAAGAGTGGGTGAATAGGGAGGGTAGAGCATGGGGGTCATGCTGCTTTTGGTCCAAAACTGCTGAACACTCAGCGCAGTGTGGGCAGGTGCACTGTCATGGTGTCGTGTTTGCCACAACTCAGGAGATTTCATCTGCAAATCGTGACACAATCTTCTCAAATCTTCCAGATAAAAACTTTTTTTGACCGTTTGATCCAGATAAACAAATTCTGAGTGTACTATAAGGGGCCCACCTTCCAAAAGATATTTTTGGTGTTTTTTTTCTTTTTTGGTCCCCACCCTTGTCCTAGGAGGGGCTGCTTCTTGGAATGTCGGTCTTTCTAAACCAAGTTTTGAGGGTTTCCAGTCACTTGATTGACCAAACCCTAGATATCCATACACTCTGGCTCATTGCCACTCAGTCCTCTTTAATTTAAAAAACAGTGCCTAAAGCACTTATTGCCTATTTTGTACCATGTGTCCATGCAACACTGGGGGTCCCAATGACATCCAGAGTCAACCATCACACAGGGGACCAAAACACTTCTGATATAGCTTAGGGTGTTTTAGACTCACCCAGTACCCTGAGAATGTGGGCAGGGAAGTTATTTTTTTGCTGGGGGGAGGTGCATTGTTACTATATGCACCTTGATTCTCTCGAAGGTCAGAAAGGTAAAAGATAGTGGGGGTGGTACTCCCTGGCAGCTCCTTGGTGGCAGTCCAGACATCATTTCAGTAGAGATGTCTCTGTATGGTATCACTGTCCCCAAGGAAACAAGGTGCTGAGGGCTTCAAGAAGCAACATGCCACTTTTCCTGCTTGACTTTGGGTGGGGAGGGGTGGGAGAGGAAGGAAGCCATCGCCAAACCCTGGAGGTCATAGGAAATGCATAATCCAGTCCAGCCTCCAGTTAGATTAGGGCTTGTGGCTCAAAGACCATGTGGCTGCTGGTTCCCAGACCCCCATCCTGCTGTGCCCCCTTCCACTGGGGTTTGTAGAGCAACCTGGGTGGATCCAGCCCCAACCCAGCTCTGGCCTGGTACTGCTGAGCTCAGGGTATCCCAGGAGCTGGTGTTCATAGGTTTACCATGAAGCCAGGGTTGGTTTGGGGTCTTTTCCTGACTCTGTGCCCATAGCTGCCTCTCCCGCCTGCCTGAGTGTCTCGTACCTGCCAGGCATAGCTTGTGGAAATGATTCTATAGGGCAGAAATGATTGCCCCTTTTCCAGATGAGTGGGTAGAATCTCAAAGAGGTTCCTGGGACCAAGGCCACACAGCTAATGTGTAGGGTGACCAAAAGGCCTGGTTCACCTGGACGTCTCCTATAGCCATCCTCCATCTAGATATAATCATTAATAGCATCCTCTTTCACTGACAAGATTGTCCTAGTTTGGGCAACAAAGCGTATGATCCCCTACCAGTAAGATAGACATCAGGCACAAGGGCAGGTCCTGTTGGATCCACAGTGGACACTGTTCTCTGTCCTACTCACTAGAGTCTTAGAGTCAAGTACCAATCCCATACCCCAATCCCCTAACTCATCTGCCCAGTCTCAGGGTCCTGCATTGCCCCCTGATTCTCCAAGCTGCCTGCTCAGTCTCTTTGGATATGCTAATCCTGGGAGGGTATGAAGTTTCTGGATCCTGTCCTCCCAACTGTCCGCTTCCCTGTCAGACCCTGTTAACCTGGTATGACCACATAGCCATCAGACATGCTTCCAGAGTGCCACTCCTACCCTGGGGCCTGACCACCCATCCCTCACAGGGGCCCACTGACCTGCAGGCTGTCCGTGGCTGTGGTGACTGAGGACAGGCACAGGGGGTGACCTTGAGGCTGAGTGGAGTCATCTGAGTCTGCCTCGAAGTCCAAGTCGTGGAAGGAGAGAAGGCGCTTTTTCTTAGCAGGCATGAGACAGGGGCAAGACTTCAGTCAGCGTCAACTTGACGGAGAGGACCAGAAACCCCACACCTCCCCACCCCCATACTCAGGCCCCAGGTGGCAGGATGGGCTCCTCTTCCAGCACATCCACATTCTACACTAGAAACAAACATGGATGAGCATAAGGGGGTACTGAGGGGGCACTGGATGCCCATGGTGCTCATTCTCACCCATCATAGATATGTGTTCCCAGAACTTTGGCTAAGCAGAAGGGTCAGTGAACTGAGTCCCTGCTGAGTGCTGGGCACGCAGACCCTGGGGGCCCATCCATTTGGGGGTACTGGCTGCTCTAGAGCTGGGTGAGGAGAGGGTCCCTGGGGATCTAGGTAAAGGGGGGTGAGGGGAGCAGAAGTGGACAACTCCTGAGAGCTCCAAGTTCTTTAGATGCAAGAGCTGGGTTTGGTTCTAAATCACTCCCTTGCTATACTTTTTTTGATCCTTTAAACTTATCTATCATGTAGAGAATATTTCAGATACCTGGGAGCTTCGTAAGTGGCATCAATAACATTTTCTCATGCAAAAGATGCTGATGTACCCTCAATCAGTCAGCCACGCAGACCTGGTTCGTGTTGAGCCTCACAGATCCATCACCCTCCAAGAGTCTAAGTCTAAACCCCTGCTTGCCTGCCCCAGTTCCCTGCTCCAACTCTCTCCCTTCCAGAAGCTGGAGTTCCTTTGTGTCTACCACTGAAAATAAGGCCAACAATAAGTGAAAACAGAAACAAACATCAATAAAGACAAGGTTCATGGCTGGCAAAAAGCAGGAGCCAAAAAGTTCCCAGAGGAGCACCTGAGGAGGCCCATTGCTCTGAGAGATGTGAAGGCGGCCTGTGCTGAGGACCCCATGAGCCCTGCGGAACACCTGCCTGCTCTATGACACCTCCCTGTGCTCATAGCACCTGTGCCCCTGGGACTCCGGCCACCTGGCCAATCTTCTCCAGCAGCTTTGCCCATCCCACAGTTTGTCTTTAGGGTTTCTCATAGTGAAAGTACCATCCCTGTCTGGTGCTCAACGATCTCAGAAACAGCTGAGGTGTGGGTAAAGGGAGGCAGATTCTTTGTGCTCATGCTGTAGGAACCAGTGGAATCATGGAGTGAGCACAGGGATTCTCAGGAAATCTGAACCTGAGGCTCAGGCATGGGGGTGGGTTGGGGGAGGTATGGGGGTGGCTGGAGATGACTTACTTTGCTGCCAAGGGGCTGGGCCTGGGCCTCTGAGTCCGGATCTCCATCCTCGTCTGTCTGGTCGCTGTCTCCACTTCTCTCTCCAGGGCTAAGCTCAGACTCACCTGCAATAGACACCTGCATGGCTCCACCCAAGGAGGGCCAGTCTAGGAGTAAGCCATTCATTTGTCTATCCACCCATCCATCCATCCACCCACCCACCACCTTCCCTCTCTCCCTCTCTTCCATCCTCAGCCACCCACTCACCCACCAATCCATCCATCTATCTATCTATTCATCCATCCACCACCTATTCACCCATCTACTTCTCATCCATTCATCTGTCCATCCACCCATCCATCCATCCACCTGCTACCCACCCATCTTTTCATTCATTTTCCATCTACCCATTCATTCCCCCTCACCCCATGCCCTATCTATCTATCTACCCACTGGGAAACATCCACGCAATGTCCTCTGTTGGCCTTTCAAAGGCCTATCGGACATCATAGCTGGTCCAAATTACAACATAAAACTAGTACCCTGCATCAATTTTACCACATCTGTAGGTCTTGCCACATCTGCAGTATTCACCCTATGCTTTTGACTCTTATACCTCTTGGGCAGTCAGAAGATCCTGGAGGGTGAATGAGGCCTAGAGCTAAGTCATGTTTTCCCAAACAAACTGCTTTGCTTACAGTCTTCTATCACTTGCTTATCAGCAGGTCCATCCTCAGCACAGCTTCGAGGGAGGTAGGCTCAGCCTTGGTGCCCCTCCTTCCCTGCTCCACATGCCCCAGTGTCCCTTCGTCTTCCTGAGCACCCGGGCCTGGCGTTCCCGGTGCAACACTACTGTCTTACCCTCTCTTTTCCCATTTGCTCTGGCCTGGCCTGGGCCCTGTTTCTTTAGGTCACTGTGGAGAGTGACCCAGTAAAGGGATCCCAGGGCTTTAGAGCAGGAAGGCCCCGTGGACCATCCGCCTTCCTATTTCAGAGGCTGCAGAAGGCACAGCTGACACCGTGGAGGTTGGGTCCTCTGGGGTCCAGCCAGTCCTTGCTGCCCCTGGATAGCCTTGCCCTGGGGTCCGCCCCTTGGTCTCTGGGCCTGGGGCCTGCAGGTATGAATAAGCAGGACACTCAGGGCACTGAAGGGTACACTGTCAGCTGTAGGGGAGGGGGGCAGCTTGTGTCACTGTCTGGGCTGTGGACCTTCCTGTATGCCCTGCTCTGTGATGGGGGGCTGGGCCCTGCACACCACATCTCTGATTTGTTGCTGCTCCCTGAGGGCTCTGCCCACAGCAGGCGTGAGAGGGAGAAGGGAGACGGAACGTGCCCCTCCCCATCACTTCCAGGCCCATGGGCCCTTCATCCTGACAGCTGGTCCAGCCACATCACAACCCCTAGACATGAACGAGCACGAGCTGGCAGTACCCCCTTTTTGGGGGACTGGGTCCCACCTCTGGGTGGCATTCCCTGAGTGGCTTGTTTCTATGAATCCTAGTTTCTGCCCTTTGCACCCAGACTGGGGGGCACAGGTGCTGGCTGCAGCTATTATCTCTGATACCTCAATATCTCCTTTTCACTTTCTCAGTTAACACCATTTAAGACAATTCCTTGTATGAAATTGCTGTGTGGAACCTGACTTTTCCCTGACTGATGCCCTTGTGGACCCCAGTTTCCATCCTCATCATTTGAGGCCTTTTCCAAAGTCTGCCCAGGTGGAGACCTCAGCCTTCATCCTCCCACGAGGGCTGCACACACTCCTTGATAATGGTTATAGCAGTTTACAATCTAAAATGAATGGAACCTCAATAGTTCTGGGTTCTCAGGCTCTGTTCTCATCCAACAGTGACCTTTTATGTTGGGTTTGGAAAATTAGTCTCATTGGTTGGTTTTGCACTGATAATACAGAGACAGAAAAAAATGAACCAGTTGGAAAAACTGGGTGTCTGAACAAAGGGGACCTGCCAGCTGCCCAGCCTCAGTGGGCCTCAGTTTGACCAGAGAAAGGAGAAATGGGGGAGGCAACCTTGTCGATTCTTTATTTAAATCTTTCTTTTAAAGATGAAAACTGTCAAGAGCTTTAACAGGGTCCCCAGTTGCTCATGTCTGGTCTCTGACAAGTCTGTTTTTATAAACTCAGTGGGCGGTCTGCCTGCTGGTGATGCTTTGAGGCTCAGAAAACAATACCCTCCCCACCAAATGAAAGATGCAGAAGCAGCTTCAGGAGCAGAAGATTTTTCTCTGACCTTCTCCTACCCTTCTGCCTCCCAGTTCCATTTTCCCCTGAGGCTGGCCACAGAAACTAGGCTCCCTCTTCCCCAAGGCAGGTCCTAGAAACTGGAACCTCTTTCCCCCAAAGCCAGCCATAAAACCTCAAAATAATACTCTAACTTTTGCTCCACCTTTCTGTGTAGAAACTGGCCATAAAGCAATAGTCTAAGCTAAAGTTTGACTGTAGGTCATAGGACCCCCATTCCAGAGAAGGTCTTCCCCAGGTCTGGAAGGAAGACAGGAAGGAAGAAAAGAAGGAAGGAAGGAAGGAAGGAAGGAAGGAAGGAAGGAAAGAAGGAAGGAAGGAAGACCCAGAGAGGTTAGGAAGAATCTAGAAGGAAAGCTCTTGCTGGGTTTCCCCACTCGGTCTATTAGCATTAGATCATGTCCTTTTTGTCCAATCATATTTCTGCACAGCTGTCTATACTTTGTTGAACCTAAGTGTAAATATGGATAATTTCCCCTGTATCTTTGGGGCTTCCGTGTATACACATTAAATAAGTTTGTATGTCTTTGTCTAATCAGTCTTTGTGAGTTGATTTTTTTTTTAGTGAACCTTTGGAAGCCCAAGGCCTTTGGTCACTATGGTGCCCAGATGACAAAGCCAGAAAGCAGACCTGGTAATTATTTTTGTTCTGAGTGTCTTGAGGAAAACTCACCCCAAACCACCAGTCAGAAATACAGCCATGAACACCACCTGCACTGAGGGAATGGAAAAATGGGCTTTCAGGGGCCTGGAAAGCTGACCTGTCAGAGTGATGTCTCCTGCCTCCATGGTGAACATGAAGAGGAAGTATCCTAGGGTCTCCAGGACCCTTTTAGTTATGGCCCCTTTCATCTCTATACTGGGGACAAGGGCTACATTAGCCTAACCTTCTGATTAAATCATACTAAACCAAAACAAACACAAAGCCAGAGGATTTTCCATATTCTTGACATGGAACAGAGATTTTTTCCTGACCTCTTTGGCTAGGGAGAAGAAAATAAAAATAAAACCATCTGAACATAAAGGACTTCATTTTGAGTCGGGCAATCTCCACACTCTATCACTCCAACTTAGAACCAAACCAGCGGCACTGAAAAGGAAGGCATTCTCTGGAGGGATGGGCCGTGTGCTCAGCAACCAGCCCAAGGCCCTGGGAGATACCTGATGCTTTAAAGTTTCACTCAGGGAGGACCCACAGTGGTCCACCTGGGCCAGGTTTCAAAACATTAACTTTGATTTTTTAAAAATGTTTCATACTTTTTTTTTAAGGGCACAACTTTCCAGAATTTTGTTCTCTTTCCTTGCACCCTGACTTAATGTGTTACAGTGACAGGTGCCTAGTAGGTAGAATGTAGCCCCTGTGGTATAACTCTCCTGAGGGAACTGAGACCTGTCTCAGCTGGGGCTGGGGCAGCTGCTGGGAATTAGGTAAAAGGACAAGCTGTTTTCTGCTGCCCCACAGTGCCACCTCCTGGTCATAGGTGGTGAAGATTTTGAAATAGGAAGGTTTTGGCAGGCAGTGTTAACCCCAACAGCTCTGGCTCCTGGCTGATCGTGTCCTTTTAAATGACACAGTTTCCTGAGCTCATCCCATTCCTAGAAACCACTTTGAGGTTGAGATTCTTAGACATGTTAAAGCATGACCTTTCCCTGTGTTACGTGCCATTCCCATCCCTGAGACCGGTGGAGAAGTTGGACCAAGCTCCTTCTGCCGCGGGGAAGACCTTTCAGCCGGCACCTGGCTGCCCAGAAGGTATAGGTAGGTGGGATTTACTGCTGGGTCAGAGATGACAGCCACGAAGAAGCCGCTCCAAAGAACTGGGTGACGGCCTCTCTTGTGTTATTGGGCATTCCTAGTCACATCTGTTGCCCGTAGAGCCTTCTTTTACTCTTAAAAATGTCCCGGTTTGAGTGATTTATCATACCTGTCCCCCTCAACCACCCAGGAGGTAAAGCCACCCCAGGGTCTGCTGCTCCAGGTGCTAAAAGCTGTTACGGGTGAGGGGGCAGCTTGGTGTTCTCTGCTCTAAGTTAAATGGCATGCTAAGATGCCTCGGAAATACCCGCACCAGGCCCAGAGAAGACCTGAATGCTCTGAGGGGTGGCTATGCCAACTTCTGCTCCTCCAATCAACCTGGGGCTTTAAGGGACAAGCATAAGTAAGGTCCCTCTCTGGAAGGAAGTCCTGGGGAAGACTTGAGTGGGGGTGCGGCAAGGACACCCCAATCTGGAAGCACAACCTCTGCTCTGGATATGCCCAGCTGCTGGAGACAGGTGCCTGCCTCATGACCCTGGAGGAACTCTCCTCTGAACTACAGATGGAGACACCAGGATGCTGAGACCTCAGACATCTGGCCTGGTGGGCTGTCCCAGTCTGAATACTTGGCCAGGCTTAATGCTAGAAGCCTCAACTAAAGGGGACAAGGCAAGCTTTCTACAGAAATCACTGCTCAATGATCTCCTTTCAAGTTCAAATGCAGACTACCCTCAGGCATCCTCCCATTCTCCCCCTGAAAAGATCTCTCTTTCCAAATGCCTTAGAAGAGGACAATATAGGCAAACACATTATTTAGTTTAAGACTACAGCCTGGATTTCAAGTTCACCATGAAAGAAATACTTGGATTCAAAACACTAAAACAATTCAATTATAACGGATTTCTCTAAAGTCTTAACAAACATCAGAATCATGTGTAATGTTTGTTGAAAAGAGAGCGTCTAGACCCCGGATCACATCCCCCAGGGAAGAAGGGCCTGGAAAATGTGTTGTATTAACAAACACCCTGGTGATTCCATGAGCTGCTGAGTTTGATATGGGTTCTTAACTTAACGTGATTGTAAGCTCTGAAAAAAAATTTGTTTCAAATATTGGCAACATCCACAGCACCCAGGACTTCAGACCAGACCAGCAGGATGCATAGGTTTGCACCTCATATGAAAAGCAGCCAACTTCATGTAAGACACCAGCAACAGTAGTTGACAGGCCTGCACACACACACATTCCAAAGGAACCAGTTTGGTCCAGAGACATTAAAACATACTTGCAAACAAAAAACCCTTCCCAGTGTCCACTCCTTACCTCTGCTCTGCAGTCGCCCGTGGAGGGACCGGATCACTTTGGCACTCCCGAACCGCTTGAAGCGGGCTTTCACATGCTCATAGTACCACTCCAGTGAGCCGATCTTCACGACTCTGCAGTGAGATAAGCACAGCCCCATGGCACTGCCCGTGTGCTGTACACAGTCATGTGTATATAACACACACACACACACACACACACACACACACACACACACACACACACGTGCATGTCTACCCTTCTTCAGCTAACTCCACTGAAGGGACATGCCAGGTCCAGAAACCATCAAGGTCACCTGGCCTCAAGACCCGAGCTTACCTGGCCAGGTGGCAGGGGTCGCAGAGCCAGCCCTGCTCCTCTGAGTGGACACGGCCACAGCTTTTGCAGGTGAAGAGTCCACATTCCACGCATTGCTTTTTGCTGTTCACAAGGAGCCGGTAGGGCTGCAGGCAGTGGGCACAGTGGGTCTCATTCAGATGGGTGGTATCCGAAAGCAGCTCCCTCTTGGAGCTTTCCTTCTTAATCTTGCCCTTCAACCCCCTTGAAACAATATAACAGAAACAATAAATATACTGGACACCTGGATTTTGCAACAGGCTTTAAATGCACACACATGCATGTACAGACACACAGGAACTCTCTCATAATGTAGGCAACAGTGACTCAAAGTTGGACAAAGGTACCCACAGACATTCCTGTGTTGAGGGTTGGGTTCAAACGTGCAATTTTGGTAGGCTGGAACCGAAACACATTAATTTCACAGAAAGGACATTGCATTTAAGCATTTCGTGGCTGTTTACAATTGTCCCAGTGTTTGGATGGCAGATCATGCATCCTCCCTAGCTAAGCCACAGAGTCCTGAGGGTAAAGCCAGATGATATTTCTTGATCAAGCAGTTTTAGGTCTCTTCTAGCAGGGGGGCAAGAGTTGAGATGAGCCTCAGGTTTGCTCTGGGGAAGCATGGCTGAGATGGCTTGGCTTGGAGAGTTTCCAGAGCAGGAATTATCCAGCACCCGGAAATCCCAGGAAAACCACAGTTCTCCTAGACCATTCAATTTTAAATAACACAGCTTCCTGGTGAGCCTGCCAAGTTGAAGTGATTGGAAGACATACTCTCAGGTTATAATGAACACACTCCTTTTGTTTGGAGCTTCTGAGAACGTTTGCCAAACATAATATTTTTAGTTTAAATGAGATAAAATTAATTCATTTTCGGTGACTGAACAAGAGAGACACTAGGTGCCATTGTTTTCTGAGGACTCTGAAGTTCTCAGATTTTCTATGGGGACACCCAGAGTATAGCAAACGTGAAGACAGTGAAATAATCTCAGGAGGCGTTGGGAGGTTACTTCTGGTTTAAACTGGAATTGGCTGAACTTCACTGACTTCCCTCTCTCAACTATTCATTACAATACTCACCAATACTGACACAAAATAAAACTTTTATCATTGCTTCAAAAACCAAGAAAAAAGGGTCAAGCAGCTGTAGGAATCTAGGGGGAATATCATCATCCACTGACCATAGTCTAGACAAAGCTGCATTGACAAGGTAAAGTCTTTGCCCCAGACAGAGAAACATAGGGCACCTGAAGCCAGTTGGGAAGGGCCTATACCTTCCATTTCTACTCTTGCCATATCTGCAACAACCAGAAAACCTTTGCTGGGCGGGGCTTGTCCAGTCTCTCTCCCAGTGAGTGCCCCTTATTCTGCATCCAGACAGAACTGCCCCCAAGACCCAGCACAGTTGGAAGAAAGATGAGGACATGTGCAGGTGCATTGCATTCTGGGATGTGAAGGTTTCTTAAATAAGGACCTAGAAAAGTCCTGGGTGGCAGCTGGAGGTGGATATATTTCAAGTGCTGAATTTGGGGGAAAGGCTAATTCTGCTCTGTTTCACATTTTTTTTTTCTTGAGTTGGAGTCTCACTCTGTCGCCCAGACTGGAGTGCAGTGGCACGCTCCCGGCCACCGCAGCCTCGACCTGCTGGGCTCCGGTCATCCTTCCCCCTCTGCCTTCCAAGTAGCCAAAACTATAGGGGTGTGCTACCACGCCTGACTGATTTTTGATTTATTGTAGAGACAAGGTCTCGCTAAGCTGCCCAGACGGGTCTCGAACCCGTGGGCTCAGGCAATCCACTCACCTCAGCTTCCCAAAGTGCTGGGATTACAGGCTGAGCCGCCAAGCCTGGCCTGTTTCACATTCTTTAAAACATAACTTCCCTTCTTCATAATCAGAGAATAAGAAAGGAGGGCAGAGAAGACCTCATTTGGGCAAAGCAAATGACACCTGCCAGTCACCGAGCATTTCAGCCACACCTAGAGCTTCAGATCCTGAGGGGTGAATGGCACCAGAGCAATCCACGTACTCTGCTTATTGCAAACATGGGTTGACCAGACGCCACTCCACTGCAAGTGCATCAGCAGGCCAAAGCCCAACATGCAGCTACAAGTTAAAGTTACCTTCAGGAATAAAAGAGTTCCCTGAAAGCGATTGACTCTCAGAAACAGAAGAAGACAAGAAACAAGCCTACTTGGTGTGCTAAACAGGGCATAAGAAGGCAGCTATCGTCTCAGCAGGGGAGCAGGAGACACAGAAGAAACCAGGCTGAGATGGGAAGACCTCAGGTTATGCTGATCCAGGTGGAAAAGAGGTGGTTAAAATGAAAATGGCAAGGAATTGCAATTGACAATGGAGGGGAATGTGAGCACCGTTTCCACTGTGGAATACTATATCCAGTGGTTTAGAATAGTGGTTCTCAAAGTGTGGTCTGGGGACTCCTGGAATTTCCTAAGGTCCATTAAGGGAGTCCACGAAGTCAAAGCTATTTTTATAGTAATACTGAGACATCATTTGCCTTTTCTTTGCTCTTTGACACCTGCACCAGTAGTGCAAAAGCAATGGTGAGTGAGATTGCTAGGGCTTTGCACGAGTTAAGGCAGTGGTCTCAACTGCATGAGAGGTCACTGTACCCTTCGTGGAAAAAGAAAAAAAAAGTTTCATTTAAGTGTAGGCTTGATGAAACAGTAAAAGTTACAAATTATGGAGGACCTTAGCCCTTGGGCACATCTTTTTAGAATTCTATGTGATGAGATTGGAAGATTGCACAAGGCACTTCTGCTGTATGTTGAAGGATGGCGGATGTTTTGATGAAAGGAATTGGGCAATTGAGTTTTGACTGGAACTGAAGACTTTTCTCATGAAATATCATTTTCACTTGAAAGAACAACTGAGAGACAAACTATTCTGACTTGGATATTTGGCAGCTATTTTCTCAAAAATGAGCAAAATGAGCCTGTTACTTTAAGGAAAAGAAATGACAGTATTTATTGTCAACAATAAAACTAAAGCTTTCAAGCACAAAGTAGGACTTTGGAAAACATATATCTACTGCCATCAACTTGACAGTTTCCAACACTTACAGCTTTCTGGTGAGATCATGGTGATAGTAATAATTGTGATTTTCCTTTTGTTATGCATATGAAATGCATCAACATTGGGGAACTCTGCATAACTCAGCGAACGAGTATTTTCCAAATGACCAATGAACAGTGTGACAAAAATCACACGTGGGCAGAAAATCAGCTCCAAGTGCAAGACAGACTAATAGCAAAAAGGGGCCAGGTTCAGTGGCTCAGCCTGTAATCCCAGCACTTTGGGAGGCCGAGGCGAGTGGATTGCCTGAGCCTGCGGGTTTGATACCAGCCCGGGGAACTTGGTGAGACCTTGTCTCTACAATAAATCAAAAATTAGCTGGGTGTAGTAACATGCGCCTGTAGTTCTGGCTACTTGGAAGGCTGAGGCAGAAGGATCGCCAGAGCGCAGCAGGTCGACACTGGGGTGGCCGTGAATGTGCCACTGCACTCTAGTCTAGGCGACAGAGTAAGACTTCAACTCAAAAACAAAATAAAACAAGACAAAACAAACACAAAAAGGGAACATTTCATGGATATGGTTTCAGATTCCACATTACAACTAAACTTTAAGAAACTACCAACTGCTGGAGTGTCATGTAATAACAAAACATAATGCTCATTATTATCTGAAAAGGCTATTAAAATCCTCCTCCCTTTTCCAATTGTATGTCTCTTATGAGGCTAGATTTTCTTTAAATACTTCAGCACCAAAACATGTTACAATACGCTGAGTACAGAAACAAGATGGAAATTCAGCTGTCTCCTATTATTCAGACATTAAAATAATTTCCAAAAAGAGAACAATAATTTCCACTCTGCTCACTCACGTTTTTATTCTGAAAAAATAGTTATTTTTTGTAAAATGATATCTATGTTAACAAGTAAGGGGTTTCTTGTTATTTTAAGAGGAGTGAATAAATAAATATTTTTTTTAAATCATAGTTTTAATTTTCAAGATGGTAATTACTGATAGATATGACCCATAGAAACAAAATTCTTTGGGTTCTCAGTAACTGAAGAATGTGAAGGGATACCGAGGTCAAAAGTTTTGAGAACTGCTAATTTTGAAGTCAGGTGTGCTCTCTCTCCCAGAACGTAGAGAAAAGGTATAGAGCGATGGAGGGAGGAGAGAGAAGATGATGGCAATGGCAGAAAGCCAGACCCGATGGGAAACAGAGCCCTGGGAAATAGGCACACATGGAGTAGAAGTGTTCTTGGGACAGGGCACCCACATTTCTGTCCTCTGTCATCTTACTTCCAGGTGGCCCTGGAGCACCAACATTGAGAGTGGTGACTGGTGGCACAAAGTGGAGTTGAGGGGGATGTCTGCTCTCAAGGGTGATATGGTGTCCTCTGATAAAAAAAAAAAAAAAACATGAGGGAAGGAAAACCCTTCCAGGCAAGGGAGCAGAAGGGAAGCCCCTTCCAGCAATGGCAGGGTGTGGAGGGGAGAGAAGTAGGCTGAGCAGGGGGAAGAGATTAGAATTGTGTCTCCACTCTGCCTTTCTTGGGGTGGTGGCAACATGTGGGAGTATCAGAGAGACCCTAGGATGCCAGGGCTGGTGGGTCACATCTCTTGGCACAGCAGGGGGCAGTGCCCACTGTGGCCACATCACTGAATAAGGGAGGGGGAGGAGCCAGGACTAGTGATCCTATTCCACTGTTTGTGTCGAGTGTAGAGGTGATGAGAGATACACATCCCTATGGTCCTTAGACCATTCCCAGCAGGATGGCACGAGGTACTGAGAGACCAGGAGACTGGCAGAGGCTTGGGATGGGTGGAAGAGGCCACAGCATGTGGATATGTGGCTGAGGTCAGATTCTTAATGTTGGGTGCTATCAGCATCCCAATGCCCAGCCAGGACCATCTGACAGGAGCCAGCGGTCCTTATCCTGGAAGCTGATCTGACCCTCCACTCTGCCTCAGGGACCAGCAAGAAGCCCAGGGACAGACCCATCCACTGTGTCACCAGGAGGGCCACAAGCCCCTCCCCCAAGGCCCAGCTGTTGGCCTGGCCAAAAGCAGAGGGTAGGGAAGGAGGACTCCAGAAGAAGAGCACGAGTCAGGAATAGAGACTGGGTAAGTAGCGGAGCCTGGGAGGTCTGAAGTTGCCAAGCTTGCCCTCT